TGTTTCTTTGCCTCATACAGTTTAGTTTTCTAATAAAATGAAAAATTAAATATAGTTTCTGAGCTTAGTTCTAAAAAGAATGCACTAAAATCTCTGAATACCTTAACAAAAGCACTCTAGATCAAATGAGCTCTGTTTGGTTTTTGGTTTGTGCTGTGGATATTGAAGCTCTGCTGTTTTCACTATGTTTTGGAAAAAACCAAACAAAACCAAAAAAACTTCTATTTTTTTTTCTGATATTTTGGCGTGTTTGGAATGTTCATTCTTAATGTATCTCCGTACTTAGAGAAAAGTTTCACAGCTACAGCTCCATCCTCTATCCTGCTCTAGAGAGAAGGATGAGAAGGCATTCAGCATTTTGGATAGGATGAATCTCCTTTCCTTGAACACTGGCTGGCTCCTTTTTTAGTTGGATCAAGTTGTGAATGCTTCTTCCTTACAGTTTTTTTGGGAGGTCCAGAACGTGCGGGTGTGTACTTGGACCCTTCCTTAATCTAACTCGCTCACCCTTAAGCAGTTCTATTTTTCTGCAGATAAGTGAAGCTCTTAGAAGTAAAAATATATTTTGTTATTTGTGCTTTACAGATGGAATAATTTGGGGGGGAGTGAAGCAGACTACCAGGTTGTTTGGGCTGTGCAGTCTCAGAGGCAGAGAGGGTGGAACCATCTATACAGGATGTTTCTGAGCACATCTGTTACACAAAGTGGTGTGGAAAGGGGGTGAACAAGATGTGTGTATCATCCTGGCTTTGTGCTGTAGAGCTATGACATTCCTGCTGGTTGAAAATACTGCAATAAAAAATTCTGTTGCCGAGACTTGCATTAATAAATGTTTGTCAAAACCCAGCAACTTAAAGTCTGAATAATTTGGCACATATTCATCCTCCCTCAAGACCTTTTCAGTTAAAAAAAAAAAACCTAATAAAACTCTTGTTTCAGTGTCAGCTGTACATGCTCAGCAACCATGTCTGAGTAAAGTACTGTAATTTTTACTTACATGCTGAAAAATGAGTGGTCAGCAAGCCAAGGAGTCACAAGCAGTTGTGTAAAAATAGATGAAGAGCAGATGTGGACAGTTGGCCTTGTATTCTGTGCTGAAAAAGGCTCAGACATTCTAGATGATAATCACTGTAGATTTTCTTCTCACCATCCCAAAAATTTACAAGTCCAGGAAGCTGAGATTTAAAATCCAAATAAATAAAAAAAGAATACAACTAAAAGTAATTTTGCTCTTAAATTTCATGCATATATTTAGCATGCAGTATTTGCTCTTACTCAAATTAAATGTAACTGATTTCTACATTTCCTCGTGTCACCTCCCTCTTCCAGCTCTATCCTGCAATACCCACACACACTTTGGGTTTTCTCCACTTTCCCTTCTTTCTCCCTACAGAAAATCTGGTATCATATGTACTTTGCTTGTAAACATAAACATTTAGTACCAGCTATCTTTGCTGCTGCTATTTTTCAGAGGGTGTTTCTGCTTCAGCAGAGGGTATCTTCTCCTATTTTTATTCATGTTTTGGTTCTGTGCCCTCTTTACCACCATGGGAATTGTTGCTAGACAGAGGGTTGTTTGGTGAGCACTGATCCAGAGTCCATGCGTGTGAAGCTGAGGCACAGCTCTTCCCTGTGCATAAAAATGGTTATTTAAGCCTGGTGTTGGTTGTCCCCACTCCTCTCTGCATCTGGAGCCTAATGAAGGGGCACAGCAAGGCCCTTCTGTAGAAATGTGGAGTGGCAGCCGGGGCAAGGTCACCTTGGGGCAGTTTCTGCTGTGCCGCTCTTCAGTAAAGTGTGCAGAACCCCAGGAGGTGTCTGGACTGCTGTTACATAAACCCAGTACGCATGGACAGCGTTGGAGGGCACGTTTCCAGTTGTGGAGCAGGACAATGCCACAGGCCTGCTGTGTGCAGGGAGAGAGGAGGAATTGGGGAAATTGTGGAGGTTAAACTAGTCGAAGATATACCTGAAATTGAGGGATGAGAAATGAATTTAGGTTGCCAGAACACCAGGTGGGAGGGAAAAGCCTGAGAGCAGGTTCTGAGGGCACACTTCCATAGTGTCCTGTGGAGGACTGGAGCAACTGCTAGAGAAGGAGGAAGGAAAAGGGGAAAAAGACAGTAACTCAGTCATTTTGTTTCCTTCCTGAACCCCTGTTTTTTGCTAGTGTTTAAGCACATTTAGTGCTGCCTGTGGCAGAGCAAGGGCAGATATTTTGGTTCTTGACTGCAATTGTAAGGTTTGCAGCAAATGTACTGGAACATTGCTGGTGACATTTGCACAGTACAGACCAACCCCTGGGGGTGAATGATGGGCCCTAAGAGAGGCCCAAACTTATTGTTTCCATCAAAACATTCTCAGTTCAGCTCATCCATGTCATTCTGATAATGCAGTGACTTATTTTTGCTGCCTGCCTGAAACCTCAGGATTTATTGGAAAACTGCATCTTCTCTGGGAATGCCTGCACAGCACCTTTAGCTTGATTGATGAGCAGAGATGCCCTGGTACAAGCAGTGCTGAATGCAGCCCTATTGCTCCCAGCTGCTGCTGTACCTGCCCCAACAAGCCTGGGGGATCTTTTCTCTGTGTGGATGCTCTAGGATCTGTTCCCAGTCAATCTACAGAATATGTCTGAAATATTCTGAGAAAGCACCAGTGGACTTGCAGTGCTCCCAGAACTTTGTTCTTACCAGATCCCAATTCTCTGCTTCCTATCTCACAGACCCAGCCTGGGTGTTTTCCAGTAGCCCAAGTCCTTGTCCCTCTGCTTTCAGGACTAGTTAAACTGAAGCAGGAAGCAGAAGGGCACCCTGGATCAATGACATTTCTTTCTTGCCTTACAGAAGCCAAATCGAATCCGAGCTGAGCTTTACATTGGCAGATATTGAATCAGGCCACTGGGAAAAAAAAAAAATCAATGGAGCCGTTTCTGGAGCCTGTTTTCCACCCTCTCCTTCTAAAACAGGGAGGGTTCTTCTGAGCCTGCAAAGTCCCATGACCAACTCCATCCTCCTGTTCTCTCATCTCTGTAGCCTTTGCATCAGCTCTGAGATGACACCCCTGGATTCAGTATTCCCAAGCTGCCAGCAGCCACAATCCTGCTCCAATGGCACCTTCTGCCAGGGCTGTGCACAGCATGCCATGGGGCAGCCCCACGCCGGCCCCTCTGGCAGCCAGGGAGGCTGTGTTGAAGAGCTGGGGGTGATTTCAAGGTCACACAAGGTCAGGGCACCCCTGAAGGGGGCTGGCACCCCTCGTGCCCTTCAAGCCTTGCTCGGTTTAGCAAGCCAAACCCCAGCTAAATAAAGAGGGCCCTAGAGAGGCTCCGTGTACCTGCCGGACCCAGAGGGATGCACCAACCTGTCACGTTTTACTCCCCACGGCGCAGCACTAATTCATCACAAGCTGTACCACTAGATGGGGCCTTCTGGACAGCGATCCAGGGAGAACAGCTGCTGCCTGGCCAACCTGCTCCTTGCCTTTTCTGCACCCCCCGTGTCCCCTTCCAGTGCGAGGAGCCTCCAAAGACGCCTGCAACAAGGGGAGGCTGTGGAGCAGAGGGCAGGGTGCCAGCTCTTCAAAGCTCAGTTTTCCCTCGTTTTTGCAGCCCCAAAGCAGAGGCCAAGCAAGAGCCTGTCCCTGTGGGTGACCCTGAGGCCAGTTCAGGGACTTGGGAGAGAGGTTGTTATTGGGGGCTGTTGCCCACGGGGGGAGAGAACAGGGAGGAGCCAGGGCAGAGCCCAGCACTTCCCAGCCTCTCCCCTCTCATCACCTTCCTGCACACGCTGAGGAGCAGAACATCACAACAACCAAACGATTCATTTTCATCCCCCAGTCCCTAGAAAACTGCTCTTTGCACTATATTTATGCAGCTGCGTACCAGTTTGGCCCTGCTTCCTCCCAGTGCTCCTGGGTGAAGTGTGCCTCAGTTTCCCCACTCAAACCATCCTCTCTATCCTCACCAGCCCCAGTGGTTCACATGATAGCTCTCACACAGCCCTGAGACACAGGCTGGCTCCCTGTGCCTGCAGAGCCTGTCCCCCATCCTCACCAGGACCTGCCCCTACAACACCCCTAACTGGACTGGCTTTATCCCCTGGCACTGGCAATAGTTCCAAGAGTGGGAAAATATCTTCAGGCTCTCAGATTGCTGGAGATGTGGCATGACAACGCCAAGTGTCATAAAGCACAAGTCCAGGACACTGTATCCAGCTGCCTACACACCTGTGCCTGCAAACCTCTGGGTGATGCTCATTGGGCTTGGAGAGCAGCAGCAGCTCCAGAAGCCCCAGTGCTTCTGAGTCTCCTGGCCAGTCTGGAATTGTGACACACCTTGCTCATTCTGGAAGTGCCCCCCAGCTGTGCCTACGTTGTCCAGTTTGGGCAGGCACCCCAGGCTCTGGTACATGCCAAAGGCTCCTGGGCTCTGCCCCTCTGTAGGCTACATGACACCCAATAGGCAGAAATTAATTTGTCCTCTCCAAAAATAATTGATTGAAATTTAAATTAATTTAAAGAGCCATTGCTGCTTTTTTCCTGTGAAGGTTGCAAGGCAGGCACGACACCTTCTAGGCATTTTAAAGCCAGTGTCCATCACTGAGGCTATTTATTACACATCCGCCATATCTAAAGCACTCAAAAAAAAAAAAATCTTAATCTCTGCTGAAAAATGTTCTCAAGCATCCGCAGGGGTTGGAGCTGCCCCGGATTGCCGAGCTGGCAGGCAGCGGGCGGGCAGGATCCTCCGTGCTGACTCCTCTCCTGAAGCGATGCCTGCACGTTTCCGTGGGAGCCCCGCCACGAGCGGGGACGGGCTGCGAGCCCAGCCCCAGCCCCAGCCCCGGCCCCGGCCCCGGCACCGCCGCCACCCTGCGCTGTGACCCCGCGCCCCCCGGCCGCGCTGCCCACCCCGGCCGGGAGCGGGGCTGGCAGCCGCCCATGTGATGCTGGGCTAGCGCCGCTCCATCCCCGCGCTCCGCCGCTCGCTCGCTGCTGTCATGGCGACTCCCAATAATGTTACTCCCACCAACTGCAGCTGGTGGCCCATCTCGGCGCTGGAGAACAACGCGGGGAAATCCACGGAGGGGGAGGAAAATCACGACCCGACAGACCCCGCTCTCAAATCCCAGGACAGATTGGTTTTGTACCACTGGACCCAGTCTTTCAGCTCACAAAAGGTAAAGACAACGATAGCTCGGCCGGGCTCCCGGGCGAGAATCACCTCCAGGTCCCAGGGCATCCCTTTGCGTCCGGGAGGATGGATGGATGGACGGACGGATGGATGGATGGATGGAGGCACTCGGGGGACAGCGAGGGGCTCAGCCCCGTGTCTGGCCGGGGCAGCAGCGTGCGGCCAGGCAGATCTTTGTACCTTTTAACAGCATCTGCCTGGGGAGGGGATGGGGATGGCATGGGGATGAGGATGAGGGGGGGCTCAGTCAAATCTTGCCTTTGCTTTGGTATCACGGCTTGCACCGGCAGCCGCCTCGGCTTTTGTGCTCGCTGCCAGCCCCACTGGCGTGGCCGGGAGCGCAGACAAAGGCAGAGCCGGGCCGGGACCACCCTGCTGCTGCTGCTGCGGGAGCAGAGGCAGCCCCGAGCCAGGCTGGTGCCCGGGAGAGGATCCCGGACCCCAGCACGCAGCGATGATTCACCCCTCACACTGCAGCAGTACCCTGGAAATTCTATTCCTGGGTTGCCCCAGCAAGAAATCCCATTCTCCAGACAATAGTAAATGCTCATTTCGCAGCACGGCAGCTGTGTAGCAAACCCAACCTTCTCCCCCGGCCCCAAACCCCCCATCATTCCCAAGCCATGAACACCATATGGAGAATGGGCTGTTGGGAGGGGTGGCTGTCGGAACACCAAGTTCCCCGGTGCCAGGGCCTGCCCGAGCTGCACAGCCCGGCGGGGAGGCCGGGGCAGAGGTGCCCGTTCCTGCGAGCAGACACAAAGGAGGGAGGATGCCCAATGCAGCAGGGTGGCTGCACATGGTCGGCCCCGCCGCCGTCGGCAGCACGGGACCGACGGGCTCGGGATCCGCACTGCCGGGGGATGCTCGTGCCCCGCTCCCCGCGGAATTCTCCGGGAATATTTGGTCACCCCAGTCTGGGATCCCCTTTGGGGTGCTGGCAGGAGCTCCCCGTGCCCTCAGGCACTGGGGTACCCTGGCACCCCGGGCTGCCTCCTGCCAGGCCTTCAGCTCCTGGAAGCAGCACAGGGAGCCTGGGGCTGGGTACCCCAGGTGGTGCTGGCTGAGGTTTATTTATCAGCTGGGAGGAAAAGGCCAGAATGAGTTGCAGTTGAGGAACCCAGGCTTTCTCTTTGTTGACTTTAAAAGAAAAAATTTACTTGCCAGTCCTGTGAATAATTAATGACTAATTCCCCGGGAACTCTGAAGTACTCACAGAAACGCTTATATATGTTAAATTGTATTTTTAGCTGCTGCTAGTTGGATGAAAACATGTACTTTTGCCTCATTCGGTGGTTCTGTAAATCACGGCTTTCTCACATCCCCTGTGGGCTTCTTTTTTTTTCTGTGTTTGACATACTTAAGTTCATAATAGTCAGGTTTTATAACCCAGAAGCCTAAAATGCCATCCCTGAGAGCATATTCAACACCATCTCATGCACAGAGCAGAGCAGGAGGATCAGCCCTGAGGGCTGGCAGTCGGGGTGGGGATGGTGATGGTGTCCCACATCCAGCCCACTCCTGCCTCCTCCTGCCCCTCTGCAAGGCTGGACTCACCTTTCCCATCCCTGAGATGTGTGGGTGCCACCCTCGCAGTGCTGGGCAGACCCAGGGCTGGAGGAGGGCAGAGGAAGGGAAAGGGGGAGGCAGCAAGTTTGACACGAGGGGTGTGAAGGTGCAGGGTGATGCCCTCAAGCTAATGTCAGCACGGAGGAAGAGAAGGAGGAGGAGGAATGCTGTGCAGGGTCACAGGGGCTGCCTGGAACTTCCCACAGAACAGAGCCTTCACCTGGTAAAGGCAGAGTCCACTCCTGAGAGTGGGACATGCCTGAGTCAGCATCCAGGTCTCCTTCAGCCAGACAGCAGCACTCACTGTGTGCACGTGTAAGGCATAATATTGCTGCTGCCTCTGCTTCCTTTTCTTGCTCAGGTATGTGCTGGGCCATGCTGGGATCCACAGCAGCATCACTACCCCAGCTGGAGAGCTCCAGCCTCCCTCCACCCACTGCTGAGGGATTGGCTCTCAGCCCTCCAGCTCCTCTGCCTGTCACACAGGCCACCAGGACCAGGGAGGATGATCCATGATTCTGAGAAGACAGGATGGGTTTGGGTATCCCCCTCTTTGCCAGGAAAACAAATTATTTAGTGGCTGCCTGGTTTTTGCAGCTGTCCCATGGCAACAGCTGCTTGGCTTCTTGCAGGGCAAGCATGTGATCCTGGCGTGTCTGTTTAAGTTTTAGGGAAGGGTCTGGGGGTGTAATGGGGTAGGGGGCACTGGAGACCAGCTGGATGTGTGGGGCTGAGCCCTTTCTCCCTGCCTTCCTGCCCAGGTGCGGCTGGTGATCGCAGAGAAGGGGCTGCCCTGCGAGGAGCGCGACGTCAGCATGCCCCTGATGGAGCACAAGGAGCCCTGGTTCATGCGGCTCAACCTGGGCGAGGAGGTGCCCGTCATCATCCACAGGGACAACATCATCAGTGACTACAACCAGATCATCGACTACATGGAGAAGAACTTCACGGGAGGTAATGCAAGGCTGGGCTGTGCCTCAGGAAATTCGTGTCTAGTTTAAATTCTGTTTGCTAAATGAATCAAATTTTTTCCTTTAAAGTTTCATCTTCATCCCAGAAAGTCAGCAAGCCACCAGCCCTCCCCAGACTTCCATGTTATCCCATGAAAGTGAAGAATTTCCAGCAGAAATCCCCTGCTGGAGGGCTCTGAGGGGTGTGGTAGCTAAGTTCCCCTTTTTCTGTCCTGGAAGTCACGCTTCCAAACCAGACAATTTCTCTCAGTCCCCATGGTGCATGGCAGCATTTCACCAGAGTCCCCACTGGGGCACAGCCCATGGGAACACTTCTGACTTCAGGTACATTTGTGCTTTGTCCTTGGGTAATTGTATAAAGGGGCCATAAGGGCCTCTGCTGAGAGAAGGTGGGTTTAAGCCGTGTTCTGCTGCTCCTTTCCCCGCTTCCTCCAGGATTCCAGGGCCAGGGAACTCTGCTGTCCCTGCTGCTGCTGTGCCTCAGAGAAAACAGCCTCTTTAAAGTCAAAACCAGCCAGTGGTGCTGAGGACCATGGGAGGATGATGTGACACAAACCCAGAGGAAGGGACAGCCAGGAGAGGGAAGCTCATATTCCCCTGGAGCAGAGCTGCAGGCCGGCTGAGCCCGGCACACCGGGATGCTGAGACAGAGCTCAAAGTCAGCTTTGCTCAGCAGCTGTGGTGAGCAGCCTCTCCCTGGCATCTCACACCCCTTCAACCTCATTCCCCCAATCCTGGGGGCTGCTGGGCTGGGACACCCACTGGGCAGGCTTCAAAGCTGGGCAGGGATCTCGGGCTTTGCCATCACGATGTTCGTCCCAGCATCCATCCCCTTGCAACAGAGACATCAAAAACATCTCAAAATAGCTCCCGAAGGCAGGGCTCCTTGCCAGCTCAGCTGCTGTCCTCTCCTGGCCCCGCCACTGCGCTGCTGCTCCGTGGAGGCACGCAGCTCCCTCCCCAGTGGGGCAGCAGGGGTGGGTCTGTCAGGAGGATCCCACACCAGCAGCACGTCCTAGGGAATGGCAGCTGCTTTCCTGCCTGGCAGCAGCCCCAGCACAGGGGACATCAGGGGGTGTCAGTCCCTGCACCACTTCAGTTGGTCTCTGTGAAGGGCAGGTGGTCTGACATATGTGACAACCGGCTGTCCCCAGCAGGAGGGGGACACAGAGCTGGGAAACTCCTGTTGTTGAGATTTGCCAGCCAGGTGCAGTTTCTTACCTTTTTTCTGGGAAATGGAGAGGGGAAGCTCCAGGAAAGAAGGTCCAGAGCATCACTCCCTGCTCCATGCTCTGCTCCATCCTATCACCCAGCAGTGCAGCTGCCAAAAGCATTACCAGGATGTGGCAGTGCTGATCTGAGGGGGAATCAGCCACCTTGCAGAAATGTGTAGAGTTTGAAAAGGCCTGTACAAGGTATTTTTACTGAGCTATGTTTTTCCCTGGGCTAAGAGCATGGCCTTTATCAGCTGCTTACACACACTGTGGGCCAGCTATAGTAAAGGCTAGTGTGTGGAGAAATGTTTTCATTCCCCTCAAAATAGCAGTGAATAGTGCCAATAAGCCATGTTTGAGGATGCTTCTCACTAGGACACTGCCCAGCAGTGCCCAGAAACCACTGATGACTTGACCAGGGCAATATTTCTTACAGGCAAGTGTGTCCTCCAAGGTCTGCACCCCCTTGCACAGCCACAGAGTGCAACAGCAGCCTCTGTGTGCAGGTTGCTGTGGCATGTAAAGGCAAGTCAGGCCATCCCAATGAAAAACCTCCCTGGAACGTGCTGAAGGACATGGGCTGGTGGCCAGCATGCTGCTATTTCATTGTGGTTGCTCCATCTTCCTGTGGGATGGAGCAGTCCCTCTGGATGTGCTGTTCCCAGCCTCAGCCCCAGCCCATCAGGTGCTGGCCAGCAGCCCTGTGGAAGGAGCACAGAAGCTATAGGTCAGTTATTGTGTCACTCATCTGGTCACTTTTCTTGGGTGGAAAATCCCCCTTTGGAGAGCTGGAGCCCAGGCAGTGCAGGCAGTGAGTAGCCCATGGCAGGGAGGAGCCACCAAAACCTCCCTTTGCTCAGGGGACAGGGACACTGATGCCTATCAGTGGAGCAACTCTGTGGAGCCTTCCAGCAGGGACAGTCTGGGTCAGAGCCATGAGATTTCCAGTACAGGAGATACCAAAATTTGCCTGGTTCTCATCCAGCTCCTGCCACCAGCAGGCACGATAATGGCAAGGCCAGCTCCCTCTTGCCTGCAGCCCAGCTCCTGCCACCAGCAGCAGGGCTGGGCAGAGCACAGCTGTCACTTCTGGCCCTGAAACAAGGGGCTGCCCTGCTCACATCTGCCAAAGTCCTACCAATGTGACCCGCTCAGGTGGAGACACTGGGACATGGAGAGCCCAGTGCTGCAGACAGGATGTGGGCAACAGAGTCCTGGTGGTGGATTTACTCACTGCCTGTGAACTGCTTTCTGCAGACACTATAAACATTTATGATCCCTTAAAAACTGGGAGAGTTAAAAATCTTGGGGGAGACAAGAGCAATGTTTTGCTTCTTCTGGTGTCACCTGCCATGTATTTTGAGCTGACAGTGTAATAAAAGGCACGATGCAAGTCACCATCCATGGAAAGTGAATAAACCCAATAAGGCAGGGAGGAGCAGAGCCAGCCAGGGCAAGGGATGTTCCTGCAGCTGAGACACTGGCTGAGCATGGAGGGAAGATACACTGGGCTTCTTTGGTCATCCACTCTGAATGCCCATTTTTGGGATTTTCAAGGAAGCCCAAGAACATGACTCCTCACTGTGACTGGAGTAAAGAATATGTAACTCAGGAGATCCTAAACTCAAATCCCCATCTTTTAGCTCTTTTCTGTAGACCAGGAAAGTTTTTCTCCCATTCAAAGAGACGTGAAATTAGAGTGTGGAGATCAGGGCTGGCTGCACTGACCCCAGGGAACACGAGGGCTGTGGGGCTGGGTAGTGACATCCCTACACTCCCCATGGGTTTGCCCATCTCGGGGCATGGGCTGGCTGCACTCCTGGCCGGGATGGGCAGCAGGGAGGGCGAGGGCAGAGCTGACAGATTAGAGTGAAAGCTCTGCCTCAGGCAGCCCCGCTGCCTCAGCAGGATTGCGCCCTGCTGTCCAGAGCCGGCTGAGGAGCCACTGAGGAGCGCTTGAGCCCTCCCAGGTGCGCTAACCCCTTTGCCTTGGCCCTGCAGAGAACGTGCCACAGCTGATCCCCGAGCCGGGCAGCCTGCTGCACTCGCGGGTGCTGCAGTACCGGGAGCTGCTGGACTCACTGCCCATGGACGCCTACACGCACGGCTGCATCCTGCACCCCGAGCTCACCACCGACTCCATGATCCCAAAGTACGCCACCACTGAGATCCGCAGTAAGTCGCCTTTCCAGAGGGGCTCCCCAGCTCCTTTAGGCTCCACAGCTCAGCCAGACACCGTGCTCCTGCTCATCTCCCCTTTCTGCCAAAGGACTGAGGCAGAGCTGGGAAATGGCAAAGCACAGCTGGGAAATGGCAAAGCACAGCTGATCTGGGAATTGCAGGCATCCCAGAGAAACCTCCTAACTCTCAGGGGGTGTCCGGGCTCCCATGGACCGTGCACGCTTCTCCACAGCTCTTTCTGGGGCACAGGAATTTGCCCCTTTCCCTCCAATAATTCTAAGGGCAAAGGCAGGAGGGAGCAGCCAGATTGAGTTGCAAGCAGTGGATGAATCGGCATAAGCCTGTGTATCTGACCTTCAAGTGCTCATGAAACATTGACGATGCTTAATATAACTCAATGGCAGGGATTGCTCCTGGAGAGAATTCCTCGCCAGAAAAGTGACCTTGTCAGGAGGGTATTGGCATGTCCCAGGTCTCTCCCTTCCTTTAGGCTCTGGCCCCAAGCTGAGCCCATAGAAAACATTGTTCCCACCCCCATCCCTTTGGTTGCCTGGGTCCCTGCTGAGGTGGGATGCACTTGTGCACAGAGAGAAATAGGCAGTTCCTGAGGTGTAGCTTGTGGTCTGCCCTGCCTCTGCTAACACCCGTCACAGACAGCTTTCCCCATGTCACCAAGTGTCACCTCCACCCCCAGACCTTGGGCCAGCGCCCCTCCCTTCCCCAAAGGGTGTGGCTGTGATGGCTTCAGCCCCCACCTGCCTCACATCACCTCCCCAGCACTCTGCTGAGGTCTCTGAACACATCTCCGTGTCCAAACCTCAGCACTGGTGACATTTTCCCAAGCCTTTGGAGGGCTGTGAGCAGGTCCATGGGCTGATGCTGTCCTTCCTCCCCAGCTCATCTTCTGCCCTCAGGCAATGGCTCAACTGCTCTGTGGCAGTGGGTGCTGAGGGGAATCGATGTCATTGTGTCCAAGGAGAGGGTGAACCAAGGTTCCAGGCTCTCCCAAGGGGAATGAAATCAGGATGATATCCAGGTTTCCATCTGAGTTGCAGCCCCAGGAGAGCTGGTTGGCAGCCTTAGCAAGCACAAGCTCATGGCAGAAATGGGAATTTCAGCATTTTATAGCAGTGCACAGCCTGCTGCTGGCTCCCACCCCAGCCAGCCCTGGCACCTCCCGCATCAGCATGCTGGCAGAGCCAGGGCCTCCCTTGTTGGAGGGAACAAGGAGGGAAAGACAGATGGTCCCTGACAGGAAGATATTAGCCCAACTTTGGGTAATTTATGCTATCCCTTAGGTGTTACTCTTCCTTTAGGATTCCTTTCTTCCTTTCACTCTGCTCCTTTCCCTCCTTTGGCTCCCTTGCACAAAGCCTTTCCCATCCTCCCTGTCCCCACAGAGGCAGAAGGGTGAGCATCTCTCTATGCTCATGATGGGCTCCATGCCATGGAATTGCAGCCCCAAACACTGAGGCAGGGAGGGACAGCTTCACCCAGGAGGGAGCACCTCTGCCCCTCCCTGCCCCACTGCTCTGAATGTACACCCCAGGGTGGGCAGCCAGCTCAGACATCCGAAAGGTTCAGCCTGCTGGGGATGGAGCTGCAGGAGCCAGGTTATGGGCAAGCCCAGGGCTGTCCTGAAAACAGCAAGCAAGAGACAGAACTTCCAGCAGCTCTAGTATGAATCCAGCAGGGGAAATGAAGAGCTGAAACTCCCCCTGAAACTCCCAGGCTGGGACTCACCAGAGGGAGGGGATTGGCCATACCTTGGAGCCAGCCCTGCCCTGTGTGATCCCTGTGTGCAGGGACAGCTGACGGAGCCACACGCCCTCAGATGTGGAAGCACAGCAGCAGCAAGCCATGAATTTGGCCCATTTTAGCTCTCTGGGGTGTTTTCCCTTGGTGCTACAGCAATATTTTGGCTGCAGGATGAGGTGATTTGCTATCAGACACACTGATCATCCCAGCCTCTCTGTCTGTGTCCCCCCAGGACATTTAGCTAATGCCACCACAGATCTGATGAAGCTGGACCATGAAGAGGAGCCACAGCTATCTGAGCCTTACCTCTCCAAGCAGAAGAAGCTCATGGTGAGTGGGTCAAAGCCACACACATCCCTGGTGCTCGGGGAACATGACCCACAGACCTGCCATGGTCTGGCTTGGTGTCCCTGCATCCATTTATTCCACATTCTAACCCTGCTCTCCACCCAGGCCAAGATCCTGGAGCACGATAATGTGAATTACTTGAAGAAGATCCTTGGAGAACTTGGGATGGTGCTAGACCAGATTGAGGCTGAGCTGGAGAAAAGGAAATTGGAGTACCAAGGTAGGCACTGGGCTGTGTTTATGGGATGTTTTTCCACACGAGGCTGAGGTGCAACACCAGAAACAGCCAAAAGCTTTGCACCTGATGAACAACTCCCATGGAGCAACCACTGGTGGGTCTGGGGCTGCCTCTGGGCTCTCCTGGTTTTAGGTACACTGATGTTGCTGCAGCATGGTTTTACTAACCTCTGGCAAACCACCCCTGCATCCCTTGCCACAGGGAATAGCAGGACCCCTGTCCTCATGGGTGCCCTTTGAGAGCCACAAAGTCATCACAGGGGAATGGCAGGAGCCCTCTACCCCAGCAAGGGACTAGAAGTGACTGATGCTCTGTCTGGTTTAGGAAGCAGCAGGCTGGCCCCAGGCACTTGCACCACAAGGAGCACTGGCTGCTGAAAGTGCAGAGATGGGGACACATGCCGCAGCCAAACCCTCACATCACCAGGCTGTGGCACATCCCAGAGGAGCATGGGCAGGGAAACCCAGGAATCTGAGGAGCCCTGGAGGGGAGAGCCTTTATAGAACGTGTGTCACATGCCAGCTGGTGGGAGAGAGGGACACCAGCCATCCCTGACAGCAAACACACAGTGCTGGGAGCCTGCCCAGAGCAGCCCTGGCACTCAGGGGTGCCTGGACACAGCTGGGCAGCACTTGTCCTGCCATCACCCCTGGATGACGCCGTCCTTCCTCCTCTCTTCCTCACTGCTGGCAGGGCTCAGAACCCCGGCCCCGGGAGGGCTGCCAGCACCACGGTGCCAGATGCAGAGCAGAGCCCAGACACAGTTAATCAGGGGATGGTCCCACAGCTGCCCCTGCCCTCGGGGCCAGCCTCGGCCCGGGGAGCCGTGCGTCACTCTCGGGGCCACCCTGGAGAGCCCTTGGCGGTGCCAGGGTCGGGCCTTGCAGGGCATGGGCTGGGGATTTACCAAGAGCCCTGATGTGCTCACAGTGGCATCCTGCCTTGCCCTAATTTCCTCAAACCCCTCATTAACCGGTGTGAGGGCTGGGACAGCAGAATTCAGCCTAATGAGGTGCCCTGGGAGGACATCCCAGGAGCCTGGAGCAGAGGGATCGCTGCTGCTGCCAGCACCCAGGTGCTCCAATGCCTTCAGTCCTTGTGTGCTGCTGCTGCTCTCTGCTCCAGAACCCCAAACTCCCACCCCGTGCCATGGCCTGGATCTCAGCAGTGGGCATGATCAGCACTTTGGCAGCCTCCCAGGAGCTGCAGTGCAGCAGCTCTGCTCCCACGCAGCCCGGCTGCCGGCGATGCAGGCGGGAGCAGGGTGGGAGGTGCTGCAGGAGCACCAGGAGACCCCTGCCACCGGCACCCCCTCAGCTGCGACAGGCTGAGCCCAGCTGGGGCTGCTGCGCATGCAGAGGGAGAGTTGCCTTTGCCTGTGCTTCCACCCCACCCGGTGCTGGGCAGGGGTGCGAGGGGCTGGAGCCGCCACATCGGGCTCCAGACCTCAGCAGAGGTGCAGGCCCAGGGCCAGGAGGGACAGAGGGACAGGGGTGGATCGCAGCTCTCTCCCAAAGTCATCATCCTCACGTGTGCTTTCTCCTTCACCGGCAGCAGTGCCTGGGTGAGGCAGCTGCCTCGGCCCTGCTCCCCTCACCGCTGAGCAGAAGCGCCCACAAGGCCCCGCCACACCCAAGAAGCTCTGGCTGCAGCACCCCCATAAGTCATTAGTCACTGAAAATATTTATTGATTAATTAGGCACAGGCAATCTGTCCACTTGGGCAGTGCTTCCAGCGGGATTTGGCAGGCTGCCAAGCAGCTACAAATGAGGGTTGCTAATTACCCATAATTGGCCCGGCCTGGTCCTGCAGGCAGCCCTGCAGCTGCAGTGCCTGTCCTGGGGCGCTGCACTGGAGCCTCTCTTCTCTTTCCTGATACAATAGCCACAGCACAATGAAGAGCCCCAGAATTAGGAATCTGGAGCAAAGCTGACTGAGGGCGGGTTTTTGTGTCCCTTCTGATGTTCTTTACCTGCACTTTTTTTCATCTCCCTCAACTCCATCCCAGCCCAGCTCCTCGGTGTTGAAAGGGCACTGAGGGAGTGCTTAACAATATCCTGGCCTGAAACTGCTTTTTCCAGCCTAACAGCAGCTTGGTTTATTTTTGGATGTCTCTCTGGTGGGGTTATTTCTGGGATCACCCATTATCAGGGGCTCTCAACCCTTCAGTGTCTTCCTTCATGTCCTGCACTCACACTGAGCTCTGTCTCCCCAAAAGCCTGGCTCTTGGCACAGAGGTGCTGCCAGTTTTGGTGTCATGGAGCAGGGTCCCTGGTACAGGAGAGAGAACAAAGGCAGAACCTCCCCAGCAGCACACACAGGAGAGCAGCCAGGCCACCCAGCGAATGGTTTTGATTCCTGAGGATTTCTCACATCCCTAAAATAGGCCAAGTTGACGTGACACTCCTGAAACAGCTCCTGGTGCTGCCAAGGGCAGACACTGCTGCTCTCCCCGAGCACTGACACAGCAGAAGGGGGCACTGCACAGCATCTTCCTTCAAGGGGGCAAAGGGACCTCCTGGGTATAGGAGGATGCCATCTCCTGCTGCTCTTGACTTGGGAGAGAGGCAGCAGAGCTGCTTTGCAGCCAGTAATTTGTACATTCACACAGGCTATAAATAATAATCTCATATTCCCAGCTTTTGGCACCCCCGTACTCTCCATCACAGTAGATGGGCTCTGAGCTCCTGGCCCATCAAAGAGCTGGAGAAAAACACCCCAGATCTACAAATGCTCCTGCCTATGTGGACCTATTGAGCAAGGTTTTAGGTGCTCACACAAGGGATTATTACCTCTGCTCTGTCTCTTCTCTCTCCAGGGCAGAAGTGTGAACTTTGGCTCTGCGGATGCGTCTTTACTTTGGCTGATGTCTTGTTAGGAGCCACCCTGCACCGCCTCAAGTTTCTGGGACTCTCTAAGAAATACTGGGAAGATGGCAGCAGACCTAACCTACAGTCCTTCTTTGACAGGATACAGAAACGCTTTGCCTTCAGGAAAGTTTTGGGAGACATCCACACCACGCTCCTCTCTGCAGTGGTACCCAATGCCTTCAGGCTGGTCAAGAGGAAACCTCCCTCCTTCCTTGGAGCCTCCTTCCTGATGGGATCTCTGGGGGGAATGGGATATTTTGCTTATTGGTACTTAAAGAAAAAATACATCTAGTGCTGACTGCTTGGTGTTTAGTTTGGTGTCTCTGTGCTGTGTGAAATTATGATGAAGCCTCAGTAACTGTAATGAAATTTGAAGCAAGGTAATGAATAATTATATTGTTTAATGTAACATTCCATAGTCTAGAAGTAGAAACCTATACTGCAAGGAAATAAGAAAACAACAACAACAACAAAAAAGTGTCAACTTGTAAATGCCTTTTTTAGGTTTAGGTATTCAACTCCAGCCAGAGGCTCAAGGGTTCACGGGCTCAGCCCTGCCCACCGGGAAGTGGCACTGCCTCCAGCACCAGCCAGCTCCAGGGGGAGAGACAGAATCCCAGGAGGCTTCCCAACACCCAAGTTGACTATTGGGACTTGGATACTTGGTCCTGCGCGTTTGTGTTTCCAAATTGTTCACTGGCCACATTTCACACATGCAGGTAGTGGGGACTTTCTTCTTCTAGAAGGCGTTGTGTTGTCGTGCTCGGAGGCTTTCCTGGGAGCAGGGTGCAGTAGCTGGTCACAGTCAAGGGGGATTTCTGTTCTTCAAGTATCCATTTTAAAAATTATTTTCATTAAAAGGAATATTTTTTATTGAGCTGCTCTCTTAGAATGTATCCACTTTCTACGTCAGGTTTTGGTGGGCTTTTTTTTAAAGAATTTAATGTCTGTCTTTAACTGCCGCGCTATTTCTTGAGATAAATAAGTTTGACTTTCATCCTCAATTCTGGCACATGAAGGAGATTATTGTTTTAAGCCTTTTGGCTCCGTCTCTTGAGTTTTCTTTCACGGATTTGCAAAGCATCTTTCACCAACTGAGCATATTTGGACTCTGAAAAAGTACAACCATTTTCAGAACTTTTCAGCACTTTCCTGAAGGCGCTTTGGCTTTCTTCCATCGGGGGCTCTTTCTGTCATTTCCTCGCTGTGTGTTTTCTTAGGGACACTTTGCACAGAATCACATTGATGACTTTCTTGTGCCTTTTGCATGCTGGAAAGAATAACAGGCCTCACTGCTACTCATGCTTTGGAAACAGATCCTCAATAAACCGTATGGGAGGAGTAATGGCTTTGCATCTCTAAATATGTTCCACATCCTTCTGGTCCCAGTGCAAGGCATGCCCGAGGGCAGTGGGATGTGCAGGTGGTTTGTGATTTGGCTCATGTATGCACTGGTATAAAACTTGCATGGAAATTATATGTATTCCTCTTCCAATCACTAATTTTGTCAGTGCTCAGCCCACTGGTTTTCCAGGCACTCCAGTGATCCCTGGGAGCCATGCTGCATCTCGGGGCTGGGGAATGAATGCCAAGTGTGGTTGAAATAACAGGAATTGCATTTGTCTCTGATTCAAAGGTTATCTTTATGTATTTGAAAGCAGTAAGCTTTCCCAGGACCTTTTGATACAACCTGGCAGCCACAGAATTGGGAATATTTAGCAGGAATTACAGGGGATGAGCACATTGAGAGTGCACAATACACATTTATATGGTGCTTGTCATAAGGCTGCTCTGACAGGTTTCTGGAATACAACAGGCTGTGTAGCTGCAGAAGCTCTTTGTTATCCCTGTTACCCACCCTGTGGTTGGGTAAGCACTTAAATTGGTGTGTGAGAACCCAGATCCACCTGGCTCCTGCAGCTGAGGCTGCTGAGTGAAACCTTGCAGACACACGTTCTCCAACATACATTCAGTACTTGCTTTGTGGAGTCGGTGACTTCAGAAGAAATAGTTATTTTCCTTCTTTTTGAAGAGGGAGGAAGGAGGGTGCCCTGAGCTCCTCCCTTTTGCTGAATCTGAAAGGTGTAAGATGAACTAGGGGTCATCCCCTCTTTGGTCAATTAGCTGGTCAATAAACCCCCCAGAAAGATTTATATAAGAGTTATGTACACCAACATAAAACCCTTACCAGGATTTCACCCTTTTCCCTTTGTGATCCTGCACGCACATTCCCTGGTGATCTCCAAAAGCTGATGAAATGCACACACCAGGTGTAGAAAGGATTAATGGGTTACAAGGCCAGGAAACCCAGAGGGAGGAAGAAGAAATGCTTCCTCCATTGCTAGGATTTCAGCCCAAGAATGAGGCAAAAGGAAGCTGCTTCACACATGGATTCTTACAGCTGGTGACTTTGCTCCTTAATTTTATTTATTTTTGTATTTTAAACCACAGAATAAATTTAAAGTCATGGAGAAAATCAGACCTCTAAACACTGGAGAAAATAGGTGTGTGTTTTGTTTGGAGCACACTATTAAATGCAGCTGTTAGGAGGAAGCCAGGCAGATCCAGCAGCTGGAGCAAGGCATGGAGAGGAGCTGTCACAGTGTTGCAGTGTGGGCTGCTGGGAAGCCACTGATGCTGTAGTGGTGGATTTTGTACAGGTTCTCAGCTAGAAGTAGTCAATAATAAGCCTTTGTTCTGGACCAAATTGAAAAAAAAAAAAAAAATGGTGCCACTCCCTTTCACTAAGCCGTGTTTTCCTGTCCTGGTAATGAAAAAGTACCAGGACTTTGCTCCAGGGAAAAGCAATTGGTGAGAGTGATAAAAGACAATTACTGTGGCAGGCAGAGGCTGGATTGGTGTGTGAGATCCCTGAATGAATGTCAGAGCCCTGATCAATCCTGTTAGCCCGTGTCCATAAGCAGCCCGGGGGTGATTACAGGCTGTCATCATAAAAAGTTGCTCTTGTTCTGACTGATCTCAGCCTGATCAGACCTTTTCTGTTCCAGTTCCACTGCAAAGGGGAGCCCACTGCAGACCTGGCCATGAGCCAGGCACTGGCCTGCTCGCTGCCCAGGGATGTTCTGTACACAGAAACATGATGGCAAAAATCTGGTTTCTCCAGGACTCTATGTTTTGCTCTCAGCAAGGTGTAGGGTAACAGCAGTGCCCAAGGGGAAAGGCTGGAAGGTGAGGCACCTCAGAGGTGCTATTTTATATTTTAGACAAGAGGGAATGGCTCCTGCTGCATCCTGCACCCAACACTCCTGTGTGCCTGACCTCACCCCAGCCAGGGTCCTCCTTTACTCTAGATGAACTTATTTACCCAAGCAAATTTTTATCCTTTGAAATCCCTGTGTTTTAGAGACAAATGTGCTTTGAGGCACCTCAGCGCTTTAAAATCTGTGTCTGTGGTGAGGTGTGGAACTTCTAATTATCAGAGGGATGAAAATCAGGGGCTTTATATGAAGTCCAAGCACCCCTGAGATGCAGCTCCATGACAGTCTCTTCCTCCTGCCTCCCAAGCCTCTTGTTTAACAAGCTCCCAGTGGTCACATTTGCAGAGATATAGCTTCCGAAATCTTTTTACTCCTACAGGATTTGCTCAAAAGACTCGATTATGAAAATTGAAAATGTACATGTCAGCCTTACTGCTGGCTGGCAGCGCTTCCCTTTGCTTGGCAAGGGATGGAGAAGACCTTTCCATGCAGAGTAAAGGATTTCAACACCAAGCTGGCCAGAGGACAGGGAACACACCACAGAGGCTGTCACAACTTGCCAAAGAAATCAAGATCAAGGGCTGCCTAAGAATGTCTAGTGACCATTTGGTGGCCCTGTCAGAAAGTATTTGCCAAGTGTTTCTCTGTTTTTGAATTTAAAAAAATCCTTACCACCCAACTGCAATTTCAGAATCCAGGGTACAGAGGGAAGAAGGATGGTGTAAGAACTGCCCCTTCTTTCCTTTCTGATGTGAAAGTAAATGAAGGATTTCCCCACATAACACCAAAACATTAAAGCTTGCGAAAATATTTAACATCAGTTTGTGTTTGGTGGCATTCACTGCCATCATTAGGATCAAAGCCAAAACCACCCAGGCTGGATCCACAATGCAGGCAATGACAGCAACTAAATCCCACAGGCTGCTGAAAGGTATATGGTATTGAAATAATGTGGGATAATATGAATATAGTATTTTGAGATGGCTAGGAATAATATAAAATATGATAATATGAGATTAAAAACCCAAAGAAACAGGAAATAATGTACAACCTAAGAGGTAACTATTGTAACCCCAAACTTGCAATTACCTGTGCCATAGTTGAGGATAGAAGGGCAATTTCTATTCACAGCAAAGCTGCTCTTGCTACACAAGTCTGTAGAAAAGCTCCTTCTCTCACGGTGGGACAGAATAAAGTCCCCATTTCAGCAGCAGCGCCCAGGGAAAAGTTCAACCCCACAGGTGTGAATGAGAGTGAAAACATCTCTGTATTTAGTGAACAGGAACAGATTTTGTATGCCTGAAAGATTCCCCAAAGCATGGTGTCAGTGGCCAAACTGCAGATGTTTCAGACCCAGCCATTTCTACTGAATCTAAAGTTATAAGCAGTAATAAAACCACACAGGACTTTGGATTCTCTGATAAAGCACATTCATGACAAATACATTTCCTGGTTTTCCCCTGGTGCTGATCCCCAAATGTGCCCAAAGGACATTTCACTGTCATTGTCTTTCATTCTCCTTTTAACTTGCTTCCCTCTAGAGTATTAAACAGAGAGAAAACAGCCTGCACTGAGCAGCTCTCAGTGGAAGAAGGAATAGCAGCTCTGCCATAAATAATGAGGATGAAGAATTGCTCTGTCAGAACACAGGTGTCCATCACTGCAGCAGTACCTGTGTGCTGCTGGCCAGGCTCTACCTGCAGAAAGGAGATCATTTCCATTTCCATGTCACTTTGGTGCTGAAGAGCTTCAAAAAGCAAAATGTCAACCTCCACCCACTTCTCAGGAGCTCACAGTATTTTTTTCTTCCTTTTTTGTTCCCTCTGCACAATGATCTACTTTCAGCCCTCTTTCTTCTTTACTCCTCTCTGCTGTCCTACCCCTTTGCTCTCTCCTGGGCTCTCTGGTGTCACTCTCCTGTCACAGACAGCAGGCCATGCGTGACATTCCTGTTGTCAGGAGTCCCTGGGCTGTCGGGTTCTGCATCACCTCCCAATCCCCCTCTCTGAGGAAGAACTGCTGAGAAAGGAAGGAGATGGAATCTTGTTAAAAACCTCTTAACAAACAGCACAGCTCAATGATTTCTAAAACATTCCTTTAAAAATAACACCATCCATCCCCCTACTTGCAGTGCCTCTCTTCTCAGCCCTTTCCTACCAGCACCTCATCTCTCCTGCGACCTAAATCCTTTTTAGCTCCAGGAGAGTTATCCAAATAAAGCTACTTTGCAATCAGAACAGTGTAACCAGGCTTGAGGGTGCTGTGTAATGCTGCAGGCAGTTCTTGATACAGACCCAAGTATCCTGCATAGTTAAGTGCAGTTTTGCACACACTCTTTACATCACCAGGTCATGTCACTCCACCACCAGCCTCCTGAACACTCTTCTATTTTTGCTTACCAGAAGCAATTTCTTTCCATTCTGTGCCCTTGGATCCAAGCACTACACAACAGCAATAGGTTTTTCTTTCCTTGGTCACAAGAAAAAAAACCCAAAAAAATCTCTGAAAACAACACAGAAAAATCTTCAGTAAACAAAATAAACCATAAAACATTTTTTTCCCTTAACTTCCAAACTAGGACAATCAAGACAGAAAATACATATATTCTTAAAAACCTCAAACCTCTATCACTCCCATTCTTCTAAAAACAGGTCAGGCTGTGACAAAGCTGAAGCACCAGAGCTGTGGTCTAGAGTGACACTGTACCAAGCCCACACCAGGTCTGTGCTTGCTGCCATCACCTGCAAAACCTGCAGTGGGCAGGCCCAGGGTGCCATTCCCAACAGCACAGTCCTGCTAGGTGTGGGAACAACAATTCACATTTGGATAAGGCCAACAGGCTCTGGGGGCTGAGCAGCATCCTTGTTTTGCACCCCTTTTGCATGGCTTTCCCACCACAGTCAGCTGCTGTGAGGCACAGCCTATTCAGCAGGATTCTCCTCGGTGATGGGTCACGGCGTTCAGGCTGTCACGGACACGGCCACACCACGTGTGACCTCCCAGCACAGAACCCACGAGATGCAAGGCTCTGCAGGCAGGGCAGGATCCGGGGAAGGCATTTCAGAAGAGCTGGCATTTACACTGAGGATGTGCCCAGTTCCTGCTCTGACATAACTGTGACTGAGGGAATGCACAGCCCAGACCTGCAAAATTAACCTGGACTGGACATGGGAAAAGGCTTTGGAGAAGTGAGAATAAGTAACTGTTTGAATTTATTCTTGTTGAACATTTTCCTTTCTTCAGCCTTCACTTCCAGGGAGATCCTCAGTTCCACCACAGATCTCCTGCCACTGCACACATTGTCAGGAAGAGCACAACAGGGAAAGGGCATTTTTCCAAGTGCTGCTTTCCTGTCATATCCAACCCTCCTGAAAGGCTGGTAAAGCTCTTCCCCTACTGTTAGTTTTCAGAGCCATCTTTTAGTCGCAAAGCTTTACAGAGGGCTTGTTACCTAGCATTGTCTTTTGTTTTGTGGACAGGGGGTAGTTTAAAAATAAATAACCTTTCAGACTAAATAATGCAATTATATAATTGCCTTAGATTTCATGGACTGTACTCAATCTTGATAGCCATTTCCATGTCTGCTTTTTCAGCTCTTAAACTTTATGCTCTCATTCCATGCTTCATTTACGTACTAAGGGACTCTTCCCATACCCAAATTAATTATTTCCTGCTAAGCACCTGCATGAAAGTACCCTCCACTGAAGTGAGCACTCAGTCCCCAAGAGAAGGACAAAGGTAACTCTCCTAATGCATCGAGCTCTGCTGTCACATCACCTTTTTCCTTCCCTGAGCTCAAGCACATCAGGCGCAGTTCTGCTTCAATGAATAAACCATGTGCTTTTCTCCAGGTTTTCCACCAGTGCAGTGACAGAGCAGCTCTGTTTAACAACAGTTAAACATCAGTTCAGAGTCACAACAGCCTTTTTGTGTCTATTAATTACTTTTATCTTAATCTTTGCAAAATACCTTAAAGAAGGGAAGGCAAAACACTGAGAGAGCACACATCCAGCAGAGGTGGGGAGCATTTATTACTAATCTGTGCTCCAGGAGGAGAGATGAAGCTATGAAAAGAAATAATCCCAGGAAACAGGTTTCTGAGCAAAAGGAGATAACACAAGGTGATCAAAGAGCTGGAGAAGGCCGATTGCAGAGAAGCTGCAGGGAGCTACTTTGTGTCCTGGTTTGAGGAACATTAAGCTACAGTGGAAAAATCAGTTGCTATTTCATGAAGTGACCATAGACTTGTATTCACAACTAAAGACTGATTTCCCAAAATATTTAACATATCACAGCAGTTTCTTCCATTAAAGTGCACTCCAGGGCATAACAGGGTGTTTCTCACTTCGTCACCAATTGCCACACACCAAAACAGAAAACAGGATTTTTTTTTGCAGCCACCCACAACCCAAGTTTCAGCACACACAAATAAATTGGGAAACCAGGAATATCATTTAGCACCACTGAAGCATTCATGGATGACATTTGAACAAACTTGGAGGAAGAATCAAACCCTGGGTTCAGGCATGTTTAAAGTCTGAACTGCCCACATGGCTCTTATGAAAGACCTCAACTTTCCTGTTTGCCTGATCTCACCTGCAGTGACACCAGCATTTGAAAGAGTCCCAGGTAAGTGAAGAGTGAAATGAATCCTAAGGCAGTTTCTCTTCCCACCGTGCTCTAACTGTTCCCAGCAGAGGAAAATGTGTAAAGCACCAAGAGCTGCCTTGGCCATGCAGTCAGGCCAAATGTTGCTCCTGTGAAACAACTGTGAAACAGGGCCCACAAAACAGCCCAAACACAGGCAATGAAGGATTAGCAGACAAATGTTGAAATATGTTGGTAAGATGTTGGAGACAAAAAGTCCCTAGGTAATTCTGCAGACAGAAAGCTCTGTGAGAACAACAGGAATACTTTAATGCAGAAAAAGCAAAAAAAAAATCCACCCCAACACTTGAAACAAACTAGTAATACCTGTTGACAGCTGATTTGTGCTTTTGGCAAGGGATACCAAATCCAGCTGTTCCCAGCACTATTTCTCTTTGGCTGCAAATCTGTTGTGGAGAGGCTGCAATTTTTATTTTAATGATAAAATTTGGGAGAGAAAGGGAAGTCAGATAAATGTGATGACAAACATGTGAACAAGAAATTTGCAACCTTAAGTTTCCAGATGAAACACAAGGAAGCAGATTCCTAGTCTGGACTAGAGTCAAAAAGCACAAATAAGGTCTGGAGCACAAGGGAACCTTCTGAGCCAAGAGCTGGCCCATGGTGTCTGGGCACTGAGAAAAACCCCAAGATTTCCAAACTCACAAGCAGTATTACAGCCCATGGGACTCTCCCCATACATTTCAATGGATTAGGCTTTCCCTCTGCTACAATAAACCAGTGTCCATGCTTACAAAATGAACTGCTTGGTGTAACAGGCACACACTGGGAAACTTGCTTTAGTCAGCCACGGCTTTTGTTTGGTTTTGTTTCTTTTTAAACCCCTGCACTCCTGAGAACCCATCCTCTGTTAACCCTTTAAAACAGTGCAGAACTTTCAGTGCCAGTTTGATCAGATGTCTCAGTAGTCACACAGACTCTGGGGGGCTGGGTCATCCAGGGATGTGGAGAGTAACAACAGCATCTTCACAGATAGCAGAACAGATTCTCAAAGACACAAACACATATAAAGTTTTCAAATGTTTTTTCTTTCATTGTTTAAATAAGAGAATAACCATATCCTATGTTATTTCCATTAAAAAAATAATCTGCATGACACTGGTTAAAGTGGACAGAAATATCCACAGCGATTGCACAAAACATTTGTGAAAATGAACATCATTTCAGCAAGTCAGTTGGTTTAAGTAAACAGCACTTCCTGTTCCAAGGGCTTGTCTATACAGCAAAGTTACATAAAGATAACCTAAAATAGGAACTTAATGAAATTAATCATAAAACCTTCTGGGTATATAATCCTTTTTCATGGTGAAAGTGGCTTGCAGTCTAGCTTAGCTCTATTGGGAGTAGGCTTAAATTACATCAAAAGAGTGTCTGCAAATATATTTGCATTGTTTAAACAAATTTAGTTAAACCCAATATGAGTTAATCAGTGCAATTTTCAAAGAGTCAGCTTAAAAGGCAATTTAATACAAAACCAAGAGGAGTTTGACAGAAAATACATAACCCTGTAGATAGCTCCTTTCTGAGAGGTGAATTGTTCTTTCTAGGGACACACAGCTCCCACCTGCCACCGAATTCATGGGAATTCCAGTGAATTTAGCTCTCCTCAGGGGCAGACCAGAGCATGGAACTAACACTGCTGGAGGAATTGCAAATGCTTCCACTCTCTTGCTGGAAGAGAGCTGTTGAGATGGCAAAACATGCCAAGATTGCCTGACGGAGCATCACACCCTGTATCCAGAAAAAGTCACTCTGCAGTCTGAATGACCGCACTGTGGGGTCAGTGGAGGTGACCCACAGCCTTGCCCCCAGACCTTCCTGGCTGTCCTGTCATCACTGTCAAACACACCATGCAACTGCATCATGAATGAGCCTCTAGGAAATAATTAAAAGCTTTTGGAGATAAAAACTATGCGAAACATCTGACTGATAAGATGAGCAAACCCATCTCACCCCTATTCATTATCTCATAGCAGTGTTTTGTTCAGTAGTGGGTTTGCAGCCACATCAAAAGCGGCCACAGTTTTACGTGCAATCAAAATTAAATAGCTTATTGGTATTGCAAGAATAAATATTGCTTCAAGCACACTCTGCTTTGCACCTCCCAGGATAAACAATGTATTTCACTCACTACCAAGCAGACTATTTGGGAAATAGCAGGATAAGCTAGCTCGTTCAGAACACCAGAATTCCACTGTTGCTCTAGAAGAAAGAACAAACCCAAGGAATTTGTTGTTGCAAACTGTGCAGCGGATTAGATTTTTTAAAAATTAAAACCCCAATCCTCATACTAGGCTTTTCAGCAAAACAGAAAGGAGTTTGGATTTTTTAGTGTCAAGAATAAAATGACAAAATATTATTACATCTACCTCACCTAAGGAGAAAGTTAAGGCTTGTTTTTTCAAGAGTTTCCTTTTTGGACATGGCATGAATTGAGAGTCACAGTCTGCTTCAGACACTGGACCTCAGGTTTACTCTCTGCTGCAGAAGCAGCTATGAGGCATTTCTGGCAAGTTAGTGTTTTTAACACTTGAGAACATGAGATGTTCCAGTTTCACAACAGAACCGCTTTCCACAAGAATTGATATTTTTGTAATGCTTAGCAGCACTGTGATTATTAGAGCTTTCCCATAAGGCAATACAAATAGGAACATTTAAAAAAGCCTGAAGTTTGGATCATCCACAGTATCTTGACATAATTCAAAAAAGAAGAGGGAGAATTAACTGAGATCAATCACACTCCTAAAGATCAAAGGCCTCTTTTAGCCTTGGGTCTGCTACTCCATTTATCAGTGAGAGAAAGAGATTCTGCTTCTGATTTCTTTGCTGACAATCCCAGTTGGCAGCTCCTAAACAAGAGCAGACCTCTTCCAATCCTGATTTGTTTTCTTCTCCCAGGGAAGAAGCTCATTACCACCTGCCAGCCAATGGCTAGTACAGATTTGGTTTCCTCCAACCCATCACCTTGTTCCTTACAGTGGAAATACAGTAACCATTCCTACATTCAACTACTCCAGTACTGAAAGCAAAATCCAAAACATTTCAAACCTTATTTTATCTGCTATAGCTGTATTTCTTTGAACTCAAAGGTATATTTGGAAGAGGTAGTCCAGGAGAAAAGGGCTTTAAATACCAAAACCTGTATGTCCCATACCAAGCTGACAGACCTATCAGCACACCGAGAAGCTTTTGGCTGAAGTCATGGAAATACAGGGCAGTAGAGAGGAACATGAACACCCAGATCACGGTGAGGGAACACAGGGAAACAAGCAGGACGTTGATCACCACACGCAGCTTGGAGCTGTGCTCTATGGCCAGCGCTTCCAGCACAGCCAGCTCCTCCAGGATCATCATGGCACAGTAGGAGAGCAGGAAGCAGTGCCCCGAGATGTCGAAGCCGTTCCAGACGCCGCTGTCCTGCTGGCACTCGCGCTTGGAGGCGTAGAGCCGGGGGGGCTGGCCGGGTTTGCCCTGCAGGGAGCACTCCCCGGTGAGGTTCTCCACGAAGATGAAGAGCTCAGTGCACAGGTACCACACGGCCGTGCCCACCAGCAGGGCCCCCAGGCGCCGCAGCACCAGCAGCGCGCTCTTGGTGCGGCCGTACAGCAACTTGCTCCGGGCCAGCTCGTACGTGGTGAGGGTGATGAAGGGCAGCAGCAGCCACAGCGTCCACGCCCAGGCCACCTTCACAAAGTATCTGCCAGAGGAAAGGCAAAGGAGACACCAGCATGCGTGAAATGCCATGGCAGTGGGGCAAGTGGTGGAGTAAGTGCTCAAGGTCAGTGTTCAGAACCGTCTAAATTAGAGACTTGTGCCCTCCTCTCAAAATACAGCTTAGCTACTTAACCCTCTCCCCAGTACTTTCCTCAAGCCCAAAACCTGAATACTTCCTCAGCCTGGTACTTGTTCCCAAGGCAGCACTGCCTTGGACCCAGAGCCCTCATATACTGCAGCAGACTTGCAGTTCAGTTTTGCAATCACTTTGACCCTACAAAGCAGCTCAACTCTGCCCTACTCAAAATGCAGCTGCAAAGAATGTATTTTTAGCTTGCCACCCTGACCACAGTAACCCCTTCTCTGACTCTTCCACCATCTCAATTATCCTTGCTTACAAAGCCTTTCACAACCTCAGCCTCTTAAGACAGAAGGGCTGGCTCTTTCCCCTCATCAGCCTGTGAAGCTTTTCCTCTCCCATGTCCTTCTAAATAAATGAAGCAGCTCAATGTTGTTCCTTTGTTGTCCTTTCAATCGATGAGAGCCTTCTTTTAGCATACACAAATCCTTCCATCTCTAAATTCACTTTCTGCCTTGAAAACTTTTGCTGTGATGCCCACAAAATCTTGAAGCCCAGCTGACAATGTGTTGATATCTTGTTTAACAGAAGACAGTATTGTGTTAACTCTTTCTCTTTTCAAATCTTAAACTGGAGCAGATGTAAGTGAATTTATTAACGAGTTAAGGAGGTCACAGTCTGGGATCTTGCTTCTCCCATCAGCACCTTCCTATGGAGCTTGCTTCCTGTCAGCTGGTGGGAGAGGGGAATTGTGCAGCCCCTTTGTTACCCAGAGCCCAGTTTGAAAACAGAGACAGCTGAACTCTGCTCTGTGGCTGAGCTATGGACAGACACACACTGTCATCATTTAAACCTCACCTGAGCATCAAAGGCAAAGCCAAACCAGCCTGGAGTTCTGCATCCTCCTTATGACTCTAACAAACTTGTCAGGGCCTTGCCCCGGATTTTGAGGAGTACCTCATTCACTGTTTAATTTTACAGGAGAAGTGATGCCTGTGTGGTTACTGCAGCTGCTGCTAGGAAACAGTAATTGAAAATAAACTCCCCATTTTATTTAAAAGCAAGAAAGGCTACCAAGGTTACTGCTGACAAGCCAGGAGGCAAGTAATTTGCAGGGAAAAAATACTTGCTTCAGGAACTGTCAGTACAGATCACCTTCCTCTATTTAAAAGCGAGAACTGAACTGAAATATGCTTTTACAGTAAGATCAATTTCTTTCTAAGTGTTTCCTGTCAATGCCCTTTCAATCACACTAAAAACAGCTCTTCTCCCATGTCACCAAGTGACAGATTTCAATGAGTAAAGTCCAAAGCTCCGCAAGTCACAGAGGAAAACAGCAATTTTAGTTTTACTTTCAGATCTATAGCAGGACAGCACATGTGCTCCAGCCCAGCTCATTGCTTCCTTCAAAATGCTCAAACTAGTTTCACAGAATGACTAAGCCAGTTAGATCATTGCCCAAGTGCCAGAAAAGGATGGCAGCCACTCTGCTTTTAGGAAGGATGCTAAAAGACCTATTTCCTTCAGCTGGGTTTTAGATCAGCTCAGTAACTATCACAGACCTACAGAATATGCTCAGTTGGAAGGGACCCACAAAGGTCCTGGAGTCCAACTCCTGGCCCTGCACAGGACAGCCCCAGAGTCACAGCATGTGCCGAAAAGCATTGACAAAATGCTGTCAAAAATGTCAAACCGCTGCGTTCTGTCAGCCTTGGTGCTGCTAGCACTGCCGGGAGCCTGTTCCAGTGCTCAGCCAGGCTCCCGATGAAGAACCCTTTCCTAACACCCAGCCTAGCCCTCCCTGACACAGCTCCAGGCCCTGCCCTCGGTCCTGCCAGTGAAAGTGAAATCAGTTTACTCAAACACGAGGAATTAACTGCGACGTTAAGAAGGAAAAAAACCTCTCCTCCTTTTCTCCCCTTCCAATAAAGACTGAGCCAGAAACTCCCTTTTTCTGAAACCTTTGAGTCAGGCACAGGAAATCTCATCACCTGAAGCTCCAGCCCCCGGCCCAGCGCGGCACATGCGGCCAGCCCCGAGCCCCGGCCCTCAGCCCGCTCCGGGCACCGCCGCCCGCTCGGTCCGCCCGGCCCCGTCCCTCCCGCTCGCACCGGCCGCGACGCCCGGGCCCCTCCTCACACGTTGAGCGGGTTGCGCTTGTTCTGCAGCGGCGTGTCGGGCACCAGGTCGCTGTCCTTGAGCACGGAGCCGAGCACGGCGATGGCGAGCAGCAGCGCGGGCAGCCGGCGGCGCACCCGCCCGCGGGCCAGCGCGGCCCGCAGCCAGCGCCCGCTCCGCTCCAGCCGCTCCATGGCCGCCGCCTCAGCGCCCGCACGG